TGAAATTTAAACAGGTCGGCATTTTACCGGTAAACCGGAAAATCAATGCATAAATTAACTTGTCAGAAGTGTGAATTGCCTCCTGCCAGTACGGTAACGGCCTTGCCGGTACGGCTAATGACCTTCGGGTACGGTAAAGCAGCGGCCGGTACGGTAAAGCAGCGGCCGGTACGGTAAAGCAACGGCCGGTACGGTAAAGCAACGGCCGGTACGGTAAAGAAACGCATGCCGCAGGAGACTCACAGGAAACCGGCTTGGTGGTAATGATCAGTTCCCTTAAATAAAATACATTTTTTTTTTGCTTTTTAGCAGAAAAAAAAAAATATATATATGTACATGTGGACAGACAGTGGCCTTCCAATATATTGGGAACCATCTTTGTTTTACTTGCTCGAAAACAACACCAACATCACTGTGCCATAATTTTTGGATTCAAATAGGTAAAGATTGTACACTATTATCGATGAAGTGAAAAATCAAGAAATTGTCATATTTATTTGGGTAGATCATAGACAATATTTATATATCAGTTTCTAAACTTTTATATGTCAGTCAAGTTGTCATCTTTCAGAAAATAAAACCTGCATAATTTCGTCCAAAATTCTGATCAGAACCTGTTCAAATTTAATAAACAAATTATAGGAAAATATTTTACCAACATTTTGGCGGGAAAATTCACGACTTTCAAAGGGTATGAGGCAGTTTAATCCGGATTCAAATTTTGCTCAACTGAGCATATAATTGCAATGCATTATGGGAGAGAACTTATCATTGTAAACAATAAATTATTATTCTTTCTGGAAACTGACTAAATTATGTCAATTTTTGAACAATATTAGAATTTCCGTCAAAGATAACGACGACTTTCCTCCCATGTCGCCGAATAAAAATATGAAAAAGTAATCTTTTGTGTTTAGCATTTACCCAAAGCAGAATTTGAATCTACTGTATGACTGTCAGTTATTATAATCTTTCACAGACTATCCTGCATAATTTCTTTCCATATTTTTTATCAAATTCTGCTGTGAATGTAAATTCTCTCCACTGGCTTGGCCCAAAATTATAGAAAAATACATGTTGTAATGGTTCATGTACATGTGCTTTGAGTGCATTTCTTGCACAAGAATAATTCATAAACATTTTACCACCAGACTTTCTTGCCAAAATTTTTCTGCACTATTTTTTTTTTTTCAATATTTCTGGGAAATGAACACTAATTTTTGAGCCAACAAACGAAATTTGAGTAAAATTTTCACTCAAAAAATGTGACTATTTTTGTCCTAATCTTCTGAAGGAAAGTACAGACTATAAACGGGACTAATTTGTGATGAAAAGAGGGAACTGGTGGTGAAAAGGTTAATAAACATGTCTTTAGACATTGTACAGAGATTTGTCTCATTGTGTTAAAATAATAAAATTTGAAAGTTTTCAAGTTGTAGTTTGTTTGCTGCGTGTCTTTTCATGGCAGAGTTGTTTTCCAATAAATCAAAAATGTAATTGTTGATGGACAATCACCTATAAGAACAGCAATCTGTCATTCCATGTCAGCGAAGCTAAAATCTCAAGAAAAGCTTTGAAAGAACTCCTGTGTGCTGAGAGTATTAGTCTTAGGAAGTGAAAATAAATCAATTCAAAATTTAAGATCGATATAGGTCTGCTATTTGAGATGCACAACATGAAAATAATGTGATCAACATTATTGAAGTTTATAATACTCTCAGAAAATAAATTGATTGTATATCTGTTGTTTTTCAGTCTAATTCAAGAAGAGCACCTCTACCATGAATTAAATTTAATCAATTTTTTCAACATTAAACTAATCACGTCTGTAGATTACATGGTTTTGTACTCCAGTACATCATTATACCACATCCACATTTCAATATTTATGCAAATTAGGCAATTAGTATGCATGAATTTCAATCCAAAACGAGTTGTCTTCTCAGGCTCTTGTATAGTCTTATTGACATGTAATTACTAGTTTTGGAGATATACATGTAGGTACACAATTGTTATGCTTAGATTTCAACCTAAAAACTAATATCGTTCCTGGGCACTTACACATGTATGTACCAAGTTTCGTTGTATGATGAATAATTCTAAAAAAAATTTCGCAAAGCCGAAAATGTATATAAACCACAAACTAATTAGATCATCACATAGTCTTGTGTATTAAGATTCATTGAAATAAGATAAGTAATTGAGATATTAATGGGAAAGCTGAAAACTATTATGCAAATCAGGTAATTAACCTAAAACTGGGGTGTGTGCATTGTTCTTGAGCATCTGTTTCATTGAAATGTGATGATTAGTACTTAAGATATCAGTTTAAAAGCCAAAAATTGGCCAATTATGCAAAGATTTTAAAGCAAAACTATTCAAGTCTTTGCAATGTCCTATGACATGTGTAAACCAGCTGTTCTTGAGATAATGGTGGAAGACATGCATGGTAACTGCAAAGACTCGATGCATGCTTCGCTGTGTGAATCAAATTTCAGTGGAATAGAAATTTACTAATTATAACCCAAAACGCACACATACTAAGTTTTATTGAGATCCGACTAGTTGTTCTTCAGACATGTATAAATACACACATACACAGGCTATTACTGCTTTGCACATGGAAGCAAAAAATACATGGCCTGTCCAGTGTAGTGCAAGTTAAACCAAAGTACATTTTACTTTATTTAACAAACTGGAAAACCACTTTATTATCAACAAATTACCCTACAAAATGAATGAATACCACAGCAATGTAAATTTCATAGATAATTTTTATTAATGCAATATATTTGTTTGCAATATTTCATTTTTTTTTTTACATTCAAAACTTCCAGTCTAACAAAACCAAAATGTATTCATGGGAAACTGTTCCCAGTATAACAATTGGGGGAGGAGTGAGACTTTGCAAAAAATAGAGACCTTAGTTGCGAGTAAGAGATCCTGCTTATTGCTCAGCTGGTAATTTAAACGATATTTTCAAATTTTTTTTTTAATCCTAATAATGAGTAATAACTGAATATACACTGGGGGGAAAATGTAAGCATGTACATTCTATTAACAGCAAGTTGACTGCTGGAAAGTTAAACAGAATTTTATTTCTCACTATGGACATTCCATTAACATAAAAGACGAATGAAAGACATAATACCCCATTTTCAATCACAGATGTGCACAGATGATGATCTGGGAGTAATACACGAATTGAAAAAAGACATCTCATGCCACTGATGTAACAATTACAGAAATATCAAAAATTATTAGTTATAATTTTTACAGTTTGAACGATAAGAAAGACAGCCCCCTCCCCAATGTAGTTCAACTTCAATGTGAAGAGATTCCGTTACCAATCACCTCTCTAACGGAGTAAACAATACTAAATTCATGATATCCATCAATGCAGTCCATTATCACATAGCAAAGTGTTTGGCATTGAGTTGTCTGTTATGAAAACAAGCTTGGAAACAAAAAGCTGTACAAATTTCAACATATCCCCTTTTCATTCGTTAATAAATACATTTTCATTTGCTTTGCAGGGAAACTGCTATATACAAACTTGCATTCTCGCTAAGTAAGCATGTCATCTGTGTATTTCAGAGTAGATGCGCGAGAAAATGATCAGGACTGAGGCAACAGAAAATAACGCTTGTTTCATTTCGTAAACACAGATGCACACACCAGGGTTATTATAAGTTTTTAGAATAACTGCACATCCACAGAAAATTCGCAATGTTGACTAAAAATTATTGACAAGTACAGACTTTTGGACTTGTAAAATCGAGGGAGCTGCTTCTTGCTGGAAAATATACACAAACGTAGCAGATTTCTTCATAAAATTATTTGTCCATCTACCACGAAGAAGTATCGCAGTATACACTTTTTAGTGAAACATCTTGCATAAGAGCCTAATCCATGATGGCTGGCATGTCGATCGTTGTTCTGTTCTTGTGTCAGCATGTCAAACACAATCGCGGCAGTTTTTTTTTTTATGAGACCATACAAAAAATCCAAGTGTGTTCGGAGGTATTTCAGAATCGCAGATGAGACTTGTGCTTCACCATGTACCTAGAAGTATAGAAATTATTAATTATTGTCAACATGCTGTCATGATTGGCCATCTGACCCAAAAAGGTACAACTTTACATGTGCTATAAAATTACAACCCTGATAGTAGAGTTAACATTTCTGGACTTCGGACTTCCATTGAATTGATTCTTTGGACTGGTCAAAAATCAAGACTTAATAACAAGAGAACTTTTAATGTTTTTGTATCAGGCAACAATTCAAAACACTGAATGTCACTATTGGCACTATTGACATTTTTTTACATCTGCAAATTTGCAAGTGTGAGTGCTAAAATTTAGTGCATTCTGCCATGGAAACCATATTCAAGTTTGGGACTGCGTGACAGGGCTGTGTCATCCTATCATAATGAAATTATGGCAATTACGATAAATGCACAATCCTGGCATCAACCAGGGCTGGTCGAACACAAACACCTGCAGACCTTAATGAAGGTTGCCTCGAAGTCGCATTTGTTAGTGAATGAATCTCGGCAAGTGGAATTGGCCTTCCCATTGAGTCTGTAGCACACTCACACAGAGTAGGGGTCGACCCTTTTTGATGTTCAACCTGATTTGAACTCAGGTGTCTGATTCAACAATCACTACGCTGACAAAGAGAACTCATTATTCATGTTGATAGAATATACTCACTTGTCCATTATTTCCCAGAATCTGAGGAGAGTGGCTCTGTCTAAATGTCTTTTGTTTCTATTTATCTTGAGAATACACACATCCCATTTCTTGATGTTGGGATCTAAATTGGCTTCTTCAAATTTCAAATGGAAAGCTTTTACTGTAATAGACAGGAGAAAGTACATCATACTGTAAAACCATTTAATTTCACTATTTTGAGCATTTTCACTGTGTTTTAATTTCATGAATTTGTCAAGGAAACAATTTTATAGTTATTTTTAATGTTCAATTAGATTTAATGTAGCGGATTTTACTTATCAGTCGAAAATAGAGAAATTAAAACCCAGTGAATAATTATTACAAAATAAATATCAAAATACAGTCAGAGCAACATAGTGATTTCTGGGATACCTGAATAAATGTGAACATATTTAGTATACTGTATTTGCTTGATTAGAGATGCACATCTAAGAGCTGATTTTCAGTACTTCTATAATATATGTATGAAGGTTGAATTTAACCTTTTCACCACCAGACTTTCTCGTCCGAATTAATTTGCACTTTTTTCTTATATTCTTAATATTTCTAAAAGTGAACCCTAATTTTGAAGCCAACAGACAAAATTTGAGTCAACTTTCAGTTTCACTCAGAAAATTTGGCTATTTTCAGCAATCGTCTGAAGGAAAGTGCAGACTATAAATGGGACTATTTTGTGATGATAAGAGGGGAATGGTGGTGAAAAGGTTGAGAGTGGTTTTCATATAATATAAATGAACACGAATCTACATGTGTATTGAATAATATTGAAGTTTGTATACAAAAAGCAACAAATATGTACTTGATCATCAGCAAAGGTAAAATGAAATCAACCAAGTTATGTTTGACAAGTAGAGCCTGCAGACATTTGGAGTTGTTTGAGTAATTCTGAAAAAGTATTTTGTCATGCATTAATGTTGAACCCCCAAATACTCAAGGCCCATATTGTTCTTCATAATACTCTAGGTCGATAACGCAAACAAATTATTTTACCGATTTCAGTTAACAGTGTGGTTTACCTCTTCTTGGTATTATTCATATACTAGTATTCATATTGGGGCTTATTTCCAAACATGAAAAACTGTAATATATGGTGTATTTTACTACGGCCTGAATAATTAAAATGTGCTCTTGGCCAATCAAAAAGATGTATTCAGGCAACTGAAATGTTGGTATAAAATGCAACAGTGCACAAACGTTGCAGGTTTAACAAATTCATCAAAAGAGGGCAGCAGTGAAATGAGAGTGAAAAACACACACTTGCTGACCGACTCAAAGGTGCATGCTGACTAGGAAATTATGTTTTTGTTGAACATAGTACTGTAAGATCAGCCTGACTGGGTTACTCACTTCTTGCAAAAATATCTACTGGCGAGCCATCTGAAAGCAACCATGGCCAGCCTTTAAACTGCCATGCTGGTCCTTGTACAAATACTGCTACCACACGGTCCCTGTAATTAACATATAACAGATACTGAAATGATAGTAAATTTTAAAACCATATAAATACAAGTCATTGAAAATGACACAGTCCCCGTTAAATTTTTGAAAGTTCTCTTTGTGCTAGTCATATTAAAGCGGAGGGGTTGTCGTGAGCGTGTCCTTGAAACTTGATTTCCAAGTGGCGTATACAACAGATTGTTTATTTACATCAAAACATGTGTTCCGTGTAGTAGTAATATGGCCAAAAATAAAAACAGCCGTTATTCGGCCATCTTTGATCTGATTATGAAACACACTGATATGTATGATGTATCTGCCAAATACAAATGAAAATGGTACACAAATTGTGGAAATATAGTAGTAAGGCCAAAAAGTCAGATGGCTGTCAATCGGCCATCCTTGACCAAATTTTGAAACAAATGTATATAAAGTACATGTATATGCCAAATTTGAATAAAAACTGAAAAGATACCGCATAAAAAAACAAAACAAGATGCCTGCCAGTCGACCATCTTTGATCCAATTGCGAAATAAATAATCATGGACATGTATCCTAACATGTGTAATCTATGTACCAAGTTTGAATGACAACTGACAAAGCATGTCCAAAATACAACATTTTCAAAAAACAAGATGGCTGCCAGTCGGCCATTTTGAATCGAATCACTAAACCACTGCATGTGCATATGTCCCACATAAGATACTAGGCACATGCAAAGAATGAATGGAATCGGTCCACAGGATTCTGAAATATGACTCTGGACAGACTGACGCACGGATGGACGGACACATGGACGGAGGGACAGACTCAGGAACTCACAGATGGTCGGGACATGTATCCTAACATGTATGATCTATGTACTAAATTTGAATGCAAAATGACAAAGCATGTCCAAAATACGACATTTTCAAGAAACAAGATGGCTGCCAGTCGGCCATCTTTGATCCAATTGTGAAATAAATCATCATGGACATGTATCCTAACATGTATAATCTATGTACCAAGTTTGAATGAAAACTGACAAAGCATGTCCAAAATACAACATTTTCAAAAAACAAGATAGCTGCCAGTCGGCCATTTTGAATCGAATCGCTAAACCACTGCATGTGCATATGTCCCACATAAAGTACTAGGCACATGCAAAGAATGAACGAAATCGGTCCAAGGGATTCTGAGATATGACTTCGCACGGACGCACGGATGGAGACTGAATTATAAGTCCCTGTTTTCAGACTTCGTTCGAACGGGGACTAATTACATGAATTTTAGAAACATTATTGGTCACAATCTGGATGACCGTAAAAGCACCAAAAATATTTATCTCTTCCTTGAATGGCAAAACAGAGAACAAAAGTCCTGCAATAATATATCGGGACATTTCGCTTGGGAAAAATAACACACAATGACTCTTGTAGCTGTCAAGATCAAAGCAAATACGCTACACATATCAGCGGCAACAATGTAATGTAACCAACTGGAACCAGTTAAAATTGCATGTTTTAAATCTAGGAAAGAAACATTTTCGTCCAAATATGGTCAATTAGGCCGAAAGGATTTGGGAAACTGGATTTCCCATTAAGTTCCGCAGCCAGGCAATACAAGATGTGATATGTGACAAAGACAATCATTGCACTGGTTACGCAAGCAATATGGCTGTAATTTTGATGGTGTGTAAGGACAATCATTGCAAGCAATAAAAGTTACACCATATAAACCCACCATACACTTCTAGCCCAGGATGTA